TTATAGTGTGTAATTAATGGGCCTTGCAATAAATCGGTCAAAAAATTAATTGTCCTTATTATTTAAATAGTCAACAAATTAAATATTAATTATTATATAGTTCAGTTATTTAGCGTAGATACCTAAACAAATGTACATATAGAGTACTCCGATTGTTCCAACAATTGTATTAATAGGATATTTCACGATATTTATTTGTAACGTTATTTAAAAATCAAAACAAAAAAAAATACATATAATAAGGATATTATCATAAAGGGAATTTCCCAACAAAGAGACGAGTGAAGCATGAAAATGTTTTTTTACGATATTTTAATAATATTACCTATTTTATAAATAAGAATACGTTCACAAAAAAAGGTACCTATTCGTTGTAAAAACAGTTTTGTTTAATTTAGTGCCATGTTTTCTTTATCCCGCTGCAGATTAATGTCCATAATATAATATGAAATTGTTTCGTTTGGGAAATAAAAAATATATGTAATTAAATACATCTAGTACACCGTATGCAATTTCAATTATACAGTAGGTACACGTATACGAAATACGAATTAACGCAACACACGTTTTCAAAATATGTAATTATACTTTTTGGGTTGGTAGAGCAATTTAATCGAGTACTTTTTTTTTTTATACAAACAATTAAAAAACACGGTATACCTTCTAGGAACATTCATATATTTAATAATTAAACACATTTGTATTTTATACCTACTCGTTGGGCAAAATGAAATAATTTAATAGACCAGCTTATGCCTGTTTAGAGTTTTGTATTTACCATAATATTTATTAGTGAATTTAAAATGTATAGTATGCGAGCTATGATTGAGAAAACATATAAAGCAACCTGTAACGGGTAAACTTCAAATAAACTTGTATGATTATGTATGATTAAAGTGTTACCGTTTAAGTGTTCGTAGAATAAAAAAAATTATGTGACTTTAAAAAGTATGTGTAGGTATAGGTCAAACGTAATTAACAAACTAATATACAGTTGATAAACTGAGGAGTTATAATTTTTACAACTTTCAATTTATAGATACCTATTTACCAAATTGCTCGAATTATTTGGGTAGACTAAATAATATTATACTTTTACGAGTATATAGGTATCATATACACTAGGTGTATTTTGTTCTGATGGTTTTGCGATTAGAAGATAATTACATAATAAAGTTGAATAAAATAAATAAATTGGGACACATTAAGCGTTGGTGACAAATGGTGTCTAATCAGATAATGTTTAATAGTGTATAATATTATACGTTGAGTTTCGAGACAAAAAATAAAACGACTAGCATAATAAAAATATATCTCATGTATAAGGTATATAAAGGTACACAGGTATAATGTAGACTTAGTGGTTGTAGGTACCCACATAATAAAATGTGAACATGTTTACATAATATGTGTTTGTGAACAGGACTACATTTAGTTTGATCATATAATATTATATAGGTATCTGGTACCTACTATTATAGGTACTTACATTCATCTATAAATATTACCAATGGAAGATTATATATATATTTACCACTTTTAGATGAATCGATAGCATAATGTTGCTAGTATGCAAAATCGCTATATAAGCTAACGAAATTACGATATGTACCTATATACCCTATACACATATTATATATATTTTATGGTATAATTTATTATAGTTCATCAGATAAGGCGATCGCCTATCTGCTGGTGCCTGGCGAGGAATACGAGTAAAATAATATGGTTGGATATAATGTTACAGATTTGAATAGTTAAAACACGGTTATTATATTTCTTAGCCCTAGGAATGTTTCCAAATACACACTTGTCACTTACTATAGATATTAGGTACTTATATATATATATATATTATTTATATTAGGTATATATATTATAGTAGATATCTAATCAGTTTCGTCGTCATAGGTGGACCGACCATCGTAAATCGTAATCATGAATATTGCATGTTGGTGATTGTGACTTGTGAGACCAGAGCGTAGAACAAAAAATGTGTATAATAATATTACTAAATATTATTATAATATTAGGTAGGAAATATTTCACAGCGGAAAGACACCACTAGACCACTTCCGATGACACGTAATATCTATACTTACAACAAACTCTCTATAATAAGTTATAGTGATCGAGTTTAAATCAATTACAATACAATATAATGTTCGATGATATCTTAAATAGAGAATAAAATACGAAGAACCAATTTATTTACAAATTTCTGCACAAGACACGTCTTATTATATTGTCGTTGTATAATACAAACATGTAATTATGATTTATATGCAATATCAGAAATAATTTTAATATTATTCTACCCTTTACATGCGTCATGTCTTGCAGGATGTCCATATGCAGGATTACATTTTGGGTGTGGTGCCTTAGGGGTATTATAGGTACATCAGATAAATACATTAATATTTTTAATAATTATAATTTATCATATATAACTCTCGTAGGTAGTCATAAAATTGAGTATCGTGTAGATTTAAGATTGGTGGCAAAATAAAAATGTAATTGATTAAACTGTTTAAAATGTTTACATAAAATGTTACGGTTTGGTTAATTATTTTCTTAACACTCTTTAAAAGAAACATAATTATAACAACCGACTACCACAGTGGATATCGAAATAATGAGAGTTGAAATAAGACAAGTAGCATCATAATATTGTAACCTATATATTATTTTATTACCGATTAGATTAAAGGTTTAGGTATTTGATGGCACCAACTATTGTATGATATTATGATATTATTCCGAAAACCGTTAAAATAGTCGGATTATAATGTATTGTATTTAAGTCAAAGCTAACAACGTAAATTGAATATAATTGTGGATTCGGGATATTATGATGCTTTAATTATTATTATAAAAAAAAAAAATGTTTAAATATATTTTTTTTCTTTCATTCGACGTGATAATATGGTAGAAATGAAAAAAGAAATATTTTGAAATTATTCATAATATTATAATATGTGCATGACATTTAACACATGTAGATTTTTTTGTGGATATGACGAGAGCCTCACTTTGAAAAAACCCTTGAATAGTTACACAGTATATTATACTGTTCGTTCGACACGTGCATTGAAAAGGAAAAAAAACTGCACAGCCCTTATTCGTGTCATATAATACTTAACTGTAGACATTTTAGTCAGACACCCGTGTGAATATATATCCATATGCACATTCCACACCCGTCGCGGTGGTCGTAAACCGATACCTAGGTATATAACATTATATTCTAAACGCTTAATTAAAACATTTTTTTTTTATTTTTTATTATTACATTATCCGGCAACTCGTTTCCTTATTACAACTCCCCAGTGCGCTCTTGGGTAGTAGTTATTTTCTTCGTAAAGACCCGTTTGTCGTCGTATCTTTAAGGACAAACGATTATTATTTCGTATTATTAGTAAATACTGAATATAAAAATATTGTTATTAACGGAGTTGCTGCCGAACGCAATAAAAGAAAGTTACAAAAAACATTATTATTTTTTATTTTTTTTCGAAAAGTATAGTATTCTTTTTAACTGTTATTGTAACTTGCTTTCTATATTCATTATAATTTCCATAAATAAATAAAACACCCTAATGAGTAATGATGCACCAACGTTTCGTTAAATCTAATATCCAATTTAATTTTCGTACCTATTTGAGTAAATATGATAATTTTCATTATTCCAATAACAATAAACACACATATAATTATCGAGTATGGAAATATTGTTGACTGAAATTAATCTTGTTGCTATAATAATATCATCATGAAATCGTAATAATCGTATAATAGGTTTACTAACTAAAATTTCAAGTACCATACGTCCATACACCTAAAATATCTCAATATAGCCTAAATTATTAATTTTAACATTTTGTACTTTATACCTAGACTTAAAAATATATACGACGGTTAGTTGAAATGATAATATCCTAATCGAGAAATTCAAAATTTCCTTAGGTAGGTGTAATGTCTATACATAATGATCAAGTTTCAAAATGGTCAAAGTTTCTATTGAATTTACTAACTCATCGTGTATACAGAAATCTAAAGTAAAAATGTTATATAATATTACAATAATTGAAAAAATGTAAGACTGGAATTTTACAGAACGTCATTACCCATTAGTATGAAAACCATTCAAAACAGGAGCAGTACAATTTGTATATATTTACATTAACTCTTAATATTCTGAAGTACAATATTAATATATATATAATATTTTTAATGCATTGACATCATAAATCGAGCGAGTATAGTTTCTGAGTTATTATAGTATACTTAGCTTTAGGTACCTACTACCTTTAGTGGAAAACATATAGTATAAGGAAATAACCATCGCAAACGGCAAAATTGCTGCAGAAATCAGGCAATATTAACACAAAGCTTTTATTTTAACATAAACAACTAAAATTACATAATATATAAAGTATTTACATAAAAAAACACAAATAATAATGTATTGGTCCCGATTGTTAACAATCGTGTCTTCTAACTTCTAACGGTCGCAGGACGACAAAGTATATTATAATATATACCTATGACGTACGGTAACTTCACAGCGCAGTACTCTATATCGTAATACTGTTGGTTTAGGTGAAAACTGAACATTTTCAGAACTCAAACAGACTAATTGTGACGATAGCAGCACTCTGGAAGTAAAAGGACATAACAGTGGACAGGGTGTCATAAGACGCGGAAAAACTGCTGTATCAAAATGTATTAAATGGTAAAGTCGTACCTCTAAGTACCTACTCCGAATAGGAGAAGGATGGTTTCGAAATACGACGCGTCTGCAGGGACCCAAAGACTTTTCACGATAAATAATAAAGTATGATATTGTAAATATTTTATGTGCACATTACACATATAGTTATAGGGAAAAATTTCGGGGGTGTTAGAACGAATAACATCATGCCATAACGAGGACAAAAACTGCACCCACCTCAGTCAATTACTATACAGTATATATGTAGGCATTACACAGAAGTCTATTATTCCTCAGGAATAGTCGACAATTTAGACGTATAATGCTTCAAAGGGCTATAGTTAGGCACCCTAATTCTAGAATTCGCGATTTTCCGCACACGGCGATGCTGCAGAGATTTATTAATAATTTTCGATACGACCCTTTTTGAGCGCTTTGGCGCCGTTTCAGACGACACCCCGTCAACTGCAGCGATGTCTCTTTTTTTCGCACTACTTCCTTCATTTCCTTTTTTCTCTTCTCTGTCATTTGTGTTCAACAACTCGGTCACTTGACTATTAATTGTAGGTGCGTCCCGTTTCATATAAAACTTCGAATCTATATAGAGAAAATAAAAAATAATACTGCTTAAGACAATTGCTATAACGTGGTATAGGTATAGCCAACTACATATTATTATACTATATGCAGGGTTCAAGGATGAACGATTGTTGCCTCAGTGACCTTATAAAATAGAAATATACAATTTACTAAATATTATATTATTATAGTATTGTATTATAAATTATACTTTTGCGACGATTTAGTTTAATGGTCGATAATATTAAATTAGTCCTCATCTTCTGCACAGTTTTTGTGAGGTTCATTAGTTTTTCTGACTCCTTTGCCCGTTCGTCCATTATTTCCGAAAAATGTTATGCTTTTCAAATACGTAGATACCAGCTACTGAAAACAACCGAAATGTCAATTTATTGAAATGTTTGATGGAAATAAAATATACTATAATATTTATATATTCGTACACGCTACTAGGTCTCACACTAGATTCGACTACGTGCGACTTTTGGTGGTAAATAATCAATATACGAGTACGTGGGTGATCTCAAATCAGTCGAATACAATAAAGAACGTGAACTGCGTGAAACTGTGCCAATACTGAACAGGTAGGTATATATTGTTATTTGTTGTAAACAAATTTTTGGTTGCTCTTAGAAATACAAACATAGTTGCTGTGCAGTTGCAAATAAAATGTATGAATAGCTACTACTATGATTATGAATTGGTTCATTGGTATTTTCTGTACCTGTTATACAATCTAAATATTATATTATGTTAAATACAATCTGATAACAGTTTTTTATAGCATATCTATTATTTTTAACAACAGTTACTAGTTAGTTAAGTTCAAAACTTCGCCTAAAAAGTATAAAATAAACATTTTCCAAACGTTAAACCAATAACACTAGTACACAATAATAGCAGCATCGCGAAATTTTCAAAAATATATCACAGCACCAATTAACTATACCTCTCTCTTATTATCTTTACCGCTCTGGGCGATGCGATGATCACAGCAGTCATCTACGTATTCCGTGGGCTGTACCGCCTATACAGTAAGTACCTAGTATTCACCACGATATACAAAAATTAATGATTATAGTAATATTGTTATTTTAAGATTATATTCATATTATTGATGGACAGAAAATATGATGACGCACACTCCAAAAACACTCAACAAACCAAAACAATGATTTCAAGGGGGGTAGGTATATTAATATTAATATTATCTGCTTAAACGATGAAATGTATTCATTAAGTGAAAATTAAGTTAGTAAACAACTAATTAATAACACTTGTTACGGACATTTTTATAAAAATAAATTTCAAAAGTTGTAGTAGGTAACTAGTATAACTATAATGCAGTTTTTCTGTTATAATACACTGATTTGGGAGGTTTTTATTCATGTGTATAATGTACAATAGGTACTGAGTCCTAGGTTAAGTATTTGAGGTAATACATTAATATAATTACTTTATATTTAAAAGTTATCGTGAAATACAAATTAATAATATAATACCCGAATATGTTTATATAAGTGACAAGTGTATAACATAATAAATATGAACTTACTAAAAAAGTACCACAAAATACGGGTTGTGTAAATGTCATATAGGTACAAATAATATGTATTACACCAAAGTAATATTGACATACTTTTTATAGTAAAAATAGTAAATACACTTCTGTTGTCGTATCCAACTAACGAAAATTTTAATGTTTTAAACTGAAATTAATTCTATAATATGATTGACAACTGTGATACCATCAGTTAAATAGAAATTTTGTTTCAGAATTACATTTGTTAGTTTAACTTTAAATATTTTATGAATTTTTGACTTGAAAATTATTTAGCAATTTTTGTAATTTTTCCTAAATTTGAATTTCAAACACTGAACGATTACAGAAATAAATTGTAACTCTATATTGTCGATATATTTTAATTTATGTAAGAACAACTAACAAACAATTTTTAATTACATTTCAAGCTTTTTAATTAACAAACATAAATACTATCAACATATTTGAAAAAAAAATATAAAATTAGAATATGATTGTCTATGAAAATTTAAAAACTCACTAATATATTTTTAAAATTATATCTTGTCTAGAAAATTCTTTAATAACAATTTGATAAAAATTTAAATTTTGTATTTTTATTTGTTTTTAAAATACAAAATTTATCAAAATACTTTAATATTAAGTATAAAAAAGGTGGGCAAGTGGGTGTCGCTCTGCTGTACGGTAGGTTACAAGTGGGTCACTGTATAATGAATGATATTAAATTTGAATTCAACGATATAATATCATTGTATAAGAAAAACGATTCTGAGCGGAGACGGTATGTCAGTCTATGTATAAGACATATTATATACATATCTATGGTATTAAACAAAAAATTGACCTATAATGGGTACCTATAATAAATTCCAAAATTAATCATATCAAAATATCCATTAGGCCAAAAACCGTGATACTATCATTGATATATAATAGTACACTTTAGAAGTTTCAAGTATCCACGAATAATATTATTCAATCACAACAAAATAACTAAAATAGTTATTTTGGTTTTTTAATATGTAATTTCGTCCAAATTTGAATTTAAAATGTCTGTAAAAAATTACTGTGTTCATATATTTTTTAGATTTTTTGGTTACAGTATGAACTATTTACGAGAACCTTTGTGTTGAATTTGCAATCCTTAGCTATAAAAACTGAACATTTTATAATTTATTAATTACAATGATTGATAATTTTCGAGATTTTGATAAATTTTGTCGAAATTTGATCTTTAAATGCTTATAAAAAAAAACTGTGCCTATGTATTTTTAATATTTTTCAACTGATATTGTAACAATATATCAGGAGCCTTGTATTAAATTTTTACACTTTTTGGCCCAACAGATAAAACTTTATTGATATTTATAGAAAAAAAAACTAAAAAAAATTGAAAGCTGTAAAGGTCCATAAACAGCTCAAAAAGAGTCAAAATATTTTCAAAATTGTATGGTGTATAGGAAATGCTAATATAAACATTCAGTGAAATTTTCATGTATCTACAGTTATTTGTTTTTGAATTACAACAAAATAAGGAAATCGCTACATGGGAAATCGAGTGAATATTCAATGTTGTAAAAATTTGAATTTCAAACGCTCATAAAAATTTAATTTGACTTTCTTATAGATATTTTTCTTTTGATAAAGGTAGACAAACTTATAAGGAATCTTGTGTTTAATTTTCAAATCTTAGATTTAAAAAGAAAATTTTTACGAATTCTTAACTCAAAATAATTTGCTAATTTTCGTGATTTTCCCATATTTTGTCAATTTTTGAACTTTAAATGCTTATAAAAAAAATTGTGACTAAGGATTTTTAATATTTTTCATCTGCCTTTGAAACAATATATGAGGAGCCTTCTATTAAATTTTCAAGCTTTCGCAACCAACAAATAAAATTTTATTGATATTTTTAGAAAAAAAACTAAAAAAAAATGGAAAATGAAAATGTCCCTAAACAGTTCAAAATAAATCAAAATATTTTGAAAATGTTATCGTGTATAGAAAATACAAATATAAACAACCAGTGAAAATTTCATGTATATACGTTCATTTGTTTCAGAGTTACACCAAAAACCAAAATCGATTTTTTGGAAAACCAATTTTGCGTAAAAATTCCCGTTTTTCCTTAATTTTTATGTTGTTTTTCCCGGCGCTTGTGAAAACTACTGGAAAATTTATACTTTTGACCCCCCAAAGTACCAACTAGATTCACTTTCCTATCAGAAAAGCTACTGATGAAGAAAATCCAAGCACTTTTACTGTCCTAAAACGTGATGACAGACACAAAAAAAAATAAAAAAAAAAAAAAAAACACACACATCATTATAAAATCAATACATTCATCGTTTCACTCAGAATCTAATATGTATATAGGACATAGGTATTCAGTTTTCCGTATTTTTATTTAGTTTTTATTTAGTTCCCAATTATTTTGAAATGCATGTACTAGAATGTTTACTTGAGGGCAAAACCACCATCGAATGTACCAGCTAGATCAAATATCCAATTTGCTACATTTCACTTTCAACAAAGTTGAAAATGTATGCATCTAAAGGTGACGTCAGACACACACACTAAAAAAACCCATATCATTGTACAACCAATACAATCATCGCTCTAGACAGAATATAAAAATTAAAATTATAATATGAAAATTCAATTTAAAAAAAATTTATTTGATTATAATTTATCTAAAATTATTATCTTATATGTCTCTATTATTTATAAATTGCATTATCTTACAACAATATTTGTAAAATGTATACAGACATCAGATAATAGATTTTAATACATATTTTATATTATTGTATTAAATGTTTCTTGTTTACGTTTGACCATTCTCGTTAAAGCAAAACAAATAATTGAAGCTAATAAAAACTATTTTAAGTTACCTTTGTATTATACAACATTATATAGTAAGCTTAATTTTAAATAATAAAAAAATTCAATAGGTAAGTGATGTATGACTTATTGTATCAAGAATTTCATACACATTTTAAGAAAACATTGCATTGACTTTAAGTCTTAATGGCAATATTCAAAATAATAGTAAGTAGAATACTATATCTATGTATTGGTTTGCATGAATACAATAAATTCTGAACTGTTGGATAAGTTATATAAAAACAAAATTTTTTTTTTTATAACACGGATGCTTAAATTCATAAATATTTATACATAATTTTCTAATATTCTAATATATTAAGCATTAAATAAGAATGTAAGGATGCGATTAGTACCCAACTGAATGATTTTGGGTTATGATTTTAGACGTTTATAGTTATCCCAACAATGCAAATTGTCGTTAGTATACTTAAAAGTTAAAATATAAACTGTACTCGTATTATACTTAAAGTATACATATACAGCTATTATGTAATTTTGTATTTTACGCGGCCTTCCAGATTTTACATGCAATGCGTAACAGTCAATATAATCAATCAGTTTATTCAATGCCA